GGGGGGGGGGTGTCAGAGAAAACAGAGTGAAGTATTGCCCAATCGGACTCACCCGCCGCATATAGATAGATATGGAAAGCGGATAAAGCTAGAATCGGAGTTTCGTGGTGGTCCTGGGGAAGCCGAAGGAAATGTCCTCTAACAACAACCGGGGAAGGAAGGCTGAGGTCGCTCCCTACCGGTCCCAGTCCAGGCAAAGGCGGGGCAGGAGCAAGAGGCGGAGGCTGCTGAATTTGAATCACCAAAAGGCTTGGCTCCCGGGATTGAGCGTCCCGCCTGCGGGATGCGGAGCCCAAAAGCCCCGCGCGTTGGTTCCCCCCCCCCCCCGGGAAGTAAACATTAGCCAAGGACGGTGGCGGAGAGCTTTTGCAAGCGATGTGCGTTTTCCTGCGGGGAAGTCGGGAGTGGGAAAGTCCTGGACTCGGCAAAATTTAAACTTCCCCCGAAAGACGCAAGCAACCCCTGGGAAAATGCAACACGTGGCTCGTGGAAAGAGCTGCTCGGGAGTGTATCACGTGCTCGAATGCGTTTCGCCCAGCGGCTTCGCGAAAGGCGCAACTTTTTAGTTTCGTCGATTTTTGACTGTGATTCTTGGTATTACAAGGACGTACCTACGTGTCAATGACTATTTCAACTTCAACTACAACACACGAGCACACAATAGATACAAACTTAAGGTAAACCGCTCCAAACTCGACTGCAGAAAATACGACTTCTGCAACAGAGTGGCCAATGCCTGGAATGCACTACCTGCTACCTGTGGTTTCTTTCCCAAACCCCCAAAACTTTAACCTAAGACTGTCCACTGTCGACCTCACCCCATTCCTAAGAGGTCGTTAAAGGGCGTGCATAAACGGTGTGGCTACCGTCCTTGTCGTAATGTTCCTTTTTATTCCTATCCATTTCATGTATACAAAATCATGTTTATACATATGTATGTTGTCTAATACATGCTTCCCTCAATCAATCAATCAGCTAGATTGAAAGGGTCACTAAAGGTCTAGTTTTCTATTTGAAGGGATTCAGTTTACGTAAGGGAAAGGTGTCGTCAACTCAACCGCCTGTAATCTGGAGGAATCGCTTCTAAACGGGTGGAGACGCCAAGCGCAGGATTTGCCGGTTTTGGGTTGTTTCAGAGTTTTAAAAGGAAGGGCAGGAAAGAGGCGGCTACCCTGGTTGGGATAAGTATCAAAGCCCGTGGTTTTTGTAGGTCCGTCAGCCCAAATTGTGTGGAGTAGAGATATGCTCGAAATTTTATAAATGTCAGTGGAAAGACATTTTTCCTACTTGGGATTTTTTTAAAAAATATCTGTGCAAAAAAAAACAAAACATTTAGCGGTTTGGGTCCAAGTTTTAACAAGCCGAGAATAAACTTGTCAACGGGACCTCATTTCGGTGGCTGAGTTCACTTTAAGATTCAATAAGGCTCTGATTCAGATGGACGCGAAGGAATTCATATACATATCATCAGAACATAAATTTGCGTATCGTTTTAATCTTCTAGACTTTTAATAGGAAACGAGCATTCATTGCTCAGCGTGGTGAATCAGGCAGTACAGTTTAGGAGGATATTTATTGCTGAAAATGCCGCTAAGAAACGGATCCCTTCTTTACTTTTTGTGTGTGTGTACGGTGCTGCAGCAGCAGGAAGTTTAAAATAGTTCGCAGCGGAAGGCAAAAGAAGAAACTGTATCCCAGGCGTTCAAATGTAATATTCTTTTGAAAGGGCAATTCTTCCCCCTAAGCTGCGTCATCCTGTGGAGGAAATATTCTCATTTAACCAACTCAAGTCCTATTTATTATTTTTTAAGGAGTTGGTCTCCCCTGGTGACTCATGTAGGTTATTTTTTTCAAAGCATTTCCGGGTGAATATTTGAAAAATGCAAAGAGATGGGATAACATGCAACTGGATTTTAAACTTTTCTCTCTTCCTGTTGCCATCTCCCAGCCTATCTGAATTAATATTCAAAATTTGGGGATATTTGTAAGCCCGTATTTATTTGTTGTTTCAGAAGGTCAGGATTCAGATTCACTTGCTGCCTAGAGAGCAGCTTCTAAGGGGGTTTGATTTGAATTTTAAATTTAATGATTTTACCTGTTCCTGTTAAAAGGAAATTAATTTTAAATATTTAAAATTTTCTATGATTCTTGTCATAATTGGGCAGTGCTGGTGTCTGATTGAATACTTAATTGCTTGCTTGATTTTACTGTTTTAAAATATTTTTATTGTCAGCAGTTCAAAGAAATGTGTTCACAATTGTTTTACAAAAAGCATAAATATTATTCTGTGCATTGACATTCTAATCATTCTCTGCCCCTTCCTCCTTTATGGGAGAAAAATCTAAACTCCAAATTTCATATTTAGTAATGAGCCCCAAAAAGAGATTTTGTAGATTCAAAAGAATAACTATTTTGTTTTTCAGGAGAGTGAGGAATTTCTAAGGAATCTGCTGGCCAGAAAAAAAAAACATGCTGAGAACAGTGATGAATCTTCCTTGAATTATCTGCTTACCCAAAGAAGTACGTATTTTTTATTTCTTTGTTAGACTTCTGCTCTACCTTTCTCATAGAGTATTTTCTCTTCCAGTAGTTATATGGAGAAGTAATGAGTTGAAATGGGCCAAGGGGTGAATAGAAAATGAGAAGGAAAAAGGGGTTAGCTTTATTAACTGAAGGGCTATTTTTCTATGTATATTATGGTGATCATTTCTGGATATCAGAATATATCTTCTTGTACACATCTTTCTTGTCTGCTTCCCAAAATTGTTTATGGGGCTGGAGAAAACCCTTCAGCTCAGCAATCCTGGGCAGAAAGGATGAGTGAGTGTTGTTCCCTTGGCTCATCCTAGGCAGACTTCTCAAAATGTGTGGATTTTAAAAGTTTTTAAACAATGGCCCTGGTGAAGAATTCTGAGAATTGAAATTCCACCAATCTGGAGGCTATTGGAGACAACTTTAGAAAACTCATCAGTGGGTCAATAGATTGCCAGAAAAAAACATGCTCACGTTGCATTTAGTCACATCTGAGGTTTGATGAGCTGCTGAAGATGGTTCAGTGCTTGAAATGCCTTACACAGTGCAAAAATCTTGCATGCCACTCAAATCCAATAGATGTCAGCTGAGAGGATGATAATATCTGTGGTGGGCTACCTAGGTAGCAGCCAAATGACCTCTCATTTCCTAAGTGTCTCAAGTTATGGCGTCCTTTTATTTATGGACATGTTGAAATAAGATGGCTGGGATGTCGAAATCCAACTTTAATTCCCAGCATAGGTGTCTGCATAAAGTAGAGGGAGTGAGCAGGGACAACAAGCATTTGGAGACTTCAGCTTGTCCAGAATGCAGCTGCGCGAGCGATTGTGGGTGCACCCCGGTTCACCCACGTTACACCTATCCTCCGCGAGCTGC